GTCAAATAAATAAATAAAATCTTTAAAAAAAAAAAAATTACACTAGTCCCATGACATTCATAACTCTCGTTTTCCTGATCTCCCACAGTATTTACTGTACTGTTTTACCTTCTGATTTTAGTCCTTAAAAGCAGTGCCTTACACTGTTTATCCATTATGTTGTGTGTGTCTCCAGAGTTAGCGTTTCATGCCTTAGAGGAAGGAAATTTGAATGACTTTTGTGGGTGTGGAGTTAATACTTAGTGAGTTTATGCCAAGCTGACTCACCATATTGGCATAGTTAATCCTCCTAACAAGCCTGGGAAGTGGAAAACGGAATCTTTACTTTGGGAGAGGTTCAGGGTGTTGAAATCACTTGCCTCAAGTTACACACAAGCCCGAATTCCAGAGTCCAGGGTTCATCTCTACTGCCCTAGGAAGCAGATGGAGCAGATGCTAAAGATTAAAGACAGAAAATCCTGAGTTTTAATCCCAGCTTTCTACTGACTATCTGTGTGACATCAGGGGAAGCCCTCCATTTGGCCTCTTTCCAATCCTCAATATTACTTATAGCATGATTTTTTTTTTTTCAACTCCTTAAATTCTTCTCAAACTTTTTAGATACAGGTCCTTCATGTTTTGATCCATTGCCAACCCAGCCTCACCATTTGTCACTCTCACACATGCCTTATATCCAACCACACTGTGTTTACTTCCCAGACATTTATCAAATTTCTCACGTCTCCCGGCATGTGTTGATCTTTTATCTAGAACTCCCCTTCTGCCACCTACTGTTTGCTGAGCTACTTCCAGCTCACTCTTCAGGATTCAGTTCTAACATCATCTACTCTAAGCTCCTTATCTATATTCTCATTGCCTCTATAATAATAAAATAATTCCTATAAATAATAACAGCTGATACTTAATCATGCTTAGAACCATCACTGTTCTAAGTACTTTACATGTATTTAATCACTTAATCCCTTACTGGAACTCCAGGAGGTAGAAGCTATTATTATCTTCATTTTATGAGTGAGGAAAAGGGGCATAAAACTGTACAGTCCCACGCAGTGACCTCCAGCCACATGTGACTGCCGAGCACTAGAAATATGCCTGCATCAAACTCAGCTGTGCTGCAACTGTAAATACATACCAGATTTTGAAGATTCAAGAGAAAAAGGGAAAATATCTCAGTAATAAAGTTTTATTTTGATTAATCGTTAAAATGTTTTAGGCATATGGGATTTGATAAAAATATTCTTAAAATTAATTTTACCTCTTTTTCATTACTTTCCTCGAGCATGACTAATAGAAAATTTAAAATTACACATGTGGGTTGCATTTTAGTTCCACTGGTCCATGCTGGCTTCAAGACATGAAGACATTTGTGCAAGGCTGCAGAGCTAGTATGTGGCAGAGACAGGATTAAACCCAGCCTCAGAGCCCCCTCTTCACCACTGCTCCCATGCTGAGTCTGCATTACCCCATCACAGCACTCACCAGTGTCTTTACTAACCTCTGAGCTTCCGGACATTAGAGACTAGAGTTTTTAACCTCTGAGCCCTCAGCTCCTGGCACAGTGTCTGGTACACAGAGTATGCCTGATGAATGTCTGGTGAGTGGACAGATGCTGGTGGTCTTCTTCTGAGAATGCCGCAATGACAGCAGGGTTTTTATTTTTTTAAGATTTATTTATTTTAGAGAGAAAAAGAGAGAGAGTAGGGGGAGGAGCAGAGGGAGAGAATCTTCAAGCAGGCTCCCCGCTGAGTACGGAGCACAACATGGGGCTCGATCCCGTGACCCATGAGATCACAGCCTGAACTGAAACCAAGAGTCCAACACTCAACCGACTGAGCCACCCAGGCACCCTGACAGCAGTTTTTCAAGATTAGTCTGCCCACCCTTTTTTTTTTTTTTGCACCTAAACCCTGGAAATTATTTAAAGAAAAAGGTAAGATAAAGCCACCACCCTAATATTTGGGACAGTAAATGTTTGATAGTACCTACTTTTCAAATAATCACAGGCATAAGAGCTAAGAGGGATAGTCAACCTGTAAACCATAAGCACCACTGAGGAGACAATTTTTCACAGATACCCGCTGTTAAGAGGCACAAACAGAAACCATGAGAGGAACCCGAGGAGTAGTCAGAGAATTAGGCGAATCAGAGCTTCACATTGTCACGCAAGACCTGAAAAGATGGTTTCACAAAGGACAGTGCACTCAATTTTATCTGAGAAGAGAAAAGGGGGTTAAGGAAATGCCATCAGATTCTTCTGGAAGGAAAGGAGTAATGTCCTTTATAAGCATATTTACAATACAGTAGTGAGAGACAAATTATAGAGCATATAGATATGGCAGGGATGCTAGACTTATGAAACTGGGAATTAAAGCTACTATGATTAATGTGGTAAGTGCTCTAATGGATAAAGTAGACAGCATGCAAGAACAGATGGGCAATGTAAGGAGAACCAAAAAAAAGCAAGAGGTTTTTTTTAAGATTTATTTATTTGAGAGAGAGCACGAGCAGGGGGAGGGGCAGAGGGAGAGGGAGAGAAAGAATCTCAAGCAGACTTGGCACTGAGCAGGGAGTCGGACGTGGGGCTCGATCTCAAGACCCTGAGATCCTGACCTGAGCTGAAATCAAGAGTCGGACACTTAACCAACTGAGCCATCCAGGCGCCCAACATGCTAGAGATTTTTTTAAAAACTAACAAATGAAGAATGCCTTTGATGAACTCATTAGTAGACTGGACACAGTTAACGAAAGACTCTCCAAGAGGATATATCAATAGAACTTTCAAAAACTGAAAAGCAAAGAGTATAAAGACTGAAAAAAACAAACCAAAACACCAGACACTTGTGAACCTTGTCCTATGTATCCCTTCATCTGTCTGTTCATCTGTAACCTTTATCATATCCTTGATAATATACTAAACTGGTCAACATATGTGTTTCCCTGGGTTCTGTGAGCTGTTCTAGCAAGTGATGGAATCCAAGGAGGGAGGTCATGGGGGCCATGTGAAGTGGGGGCCGTCTGTGGAG